CGTCATATATGCATTGAGTTTTGGGTGTTCTATCCGCTTCACCCTTTGGGCTAATCTAGATTTGAGGATCTGTTCTCGGCTATTAGGTTTCACTCCCCTTCCGATTGTTGCAGGGGAGCAAACACAGGTCCTCCCTACCAAGTGTAGTCACAATCACCACTACACCAATAACCAAACACTTGGTATGGAGGACACGTGTTATAAAATATTATATTATATGCATATACTTTTTTATATTATAAAAAATATAATATTATATACACATACTATTATAGTTAAAAGTATTATTATGTATAAAACAACATAAATTATTGCACATGATTGTTGTATATCTGGTATAGTACATGAGCAATGCACTATTTTTAAATCAAAATGTTAGTTTTTCTGAAAAAAAATTCATAAGTAATAGCATTGTTAATACGAATATTACAATTTAAAACACGAGTAATAGTTATAATACTTTTATATCTATCCTTTTTCCGTCAAATGTCTAATTCAATTTAACTTTTATTCTTCTTGTTTAGATTGGTTATTGATTAGGTTTTTTTTTTTTTTTTTTTTTTTTTTTAAATGCAAGAAAAACAAAAGGTCATTGTAAAAGACATTTTATAGAAAATAAAGGCCAATTAAAATTAAATTTTTGAACAAGATTATGTATTTTATTCCAAGACAACATTGCGGCTCAGCATTCATTATTTGTCAAGGTGTACAACAAACCATAAAAGTAATTTTTACACTATTTTGTATCTTTATCAAAAACTTTTGTATTCAACCGATTACTTGAATTGAATTTAGGATAACTTATAGACTATTTTGGGTAACTTTTATCAATAAAGCATAAGTAACTTTCATTCATTACAGGGTAGCTTTTATAATAGGTGCACAATATTTTATTGTACATCTGATTTTTTTTAAATGTTTGTATTGATTTCATAATTGACGTCAAACTAAGTTCTATCGATTTTATTTAATTTTCATAAAAAAAAATATTAGCCTTTCAAAATACGAAATATTTGTTTCCTTAATTATGCCACTTTAATCATATTGCTTCAAATTAGTTATTATTTTTTAACTTGACTATAAATTTAATTTTCATAAAAAAAAATAATATTAGTCTTTCAAAATACGAAATATTTGGTTCCTTAATTATGCCACTTTAATCATATTGCTTCAAATGAGTTATTATTCTTTAACTTGACTATAAATAAAGATTGGAAAGACTTTATGGATTATTTGTAGTATTGGAAAGTATATATTTAATTATAAAAAAAATTAAATCAATATTTATGTTAGGAAATCATGAAAATCTTATACATGTATAGAAACTTGCTTTTATTGTTTGAAGTTTAACAAAAATAACTATGCTTGAACATGTAAACAGTAATTATATAGATATATTTTATGCTTAAGATAAGCCAATGAGAGAGTGACATTTGTCATCCTCACATTGAGGCGCTTGTCTTTTAGTATAATATATAGATGAAAACAATATAGAAAACTAAAGCATTAGACCATTTCTGATTACCTTCCATAAGTTCAGAATCCTGCAGCTGAGCTACCTGTTTCCCATTTTGAACCACCGGGGCAACAAAGAACAGGGGAGCTCCCTTAGCAGTCAACTTCCCAGAGAATGAGCTAGGTCGATCTTCACCATCCTTGTGCAAGTTCTGTTCCGGGGGAGGTATAGAGTGAGAATCGGGAACAGTTGGTTCAGATCGATGAGCAGCAGCTCCAGCATCTAATGGAACAGTAAACCCAAAAACCCTAGGTAATGTTTTATTGGAAATCAAAGATACTGGTCTAAAAATGGCTTCAGCAAATAGTGCAATAGTTTCAGCATCACTCCGGGGAATAGAACCACAAGATGGATTGACCAGTGCCGGCGCCGGAGTGACAAGCTCATCTACCTCCTGATTTGGGCTTGGAACAAAAGTAGAACCTGAGTTTCGCAAATTCTGCAAAATTGTATCTAAAACTAGATCAGTAGGATTCCTATGTTGTACTTATTGAGGTGTAGAACTATTCTGCTTCTTCTTCTTAGCCATCGGAGATCAAGATTGATGAAGAAACCGATCAAAATCGAAGAACCATGGAGAAAAGAGAGAAGAGAGAAAGTCAACGAAAGTCAAACCTCAATTCCCTCCTTGATTTAATTAGCTTCGTTACCACAGTGACGTTGTAAAAGCCTACGAGCATTCGCTCCTGCATTTTTTAAACCAAATGGCATGACTGGATAACAATAAGTACCCCAAGGGGTGATAAAACATGTCTTTTCTTCGTCTTCTTTTGCCATTAAAATTTGGTTGTAACTTGCGTATCCATCTATAAAGGATAACATTGCATGTTCAGCTGTGTTATCTACCAATATATCAATATGCGGTAGAGGAAAATCGTCTTTAGGGCTAGCCTTATTAAGGTCCCTAAAGTCGACACACATGCAAACTCGTCCATCCTTTTTAGGGACTGGGACGATGTTCGCTACCCATTCTAGATAATTACATACGCGAATAAAACCTGCGTCCAATTGTTTTTGTACTTCTTCTTTTATTTTTAACGCGACGTTAGGTTTCATTCGTCAAAGTTTTTGTTTTACTAGTTTAGATATAGGGTTCAAGGGAATGATATGTTCCGCAATTTCCCTATCAATTCTAGGCATGTCCTTGTATGACCAAGCGAACACGTCTTCGAATTCTTTGAGCGTCGATATGAGGGTCGATCGCTCTTCCGGATTTAGAGTTAAGCCACTTTTGACTTCTCTTTTGTTTTCATTAGTTCCTATATTGATTGTTTCAGTTTCTTCGATGATAGGGTTCTTTTGTTCTCGTTCATTCATTAGTTCAACCAACTTATTAATATCTTCATTAGATTTATTTTTATAGCATTCGAAAGATTCAATAGAAGGCATATACTCGGAAATAGAGCTCATATTATTAGAATCAAAAGAAAGTACATTAAGAGAAGAATCCTTTTTGGGATCTTCGTCCTTAGAACTAGAAAATAAAGACTCAGTAATGGGCACAAGGCCTAGATTCTCAGCTTCCCCAGAGTCTATAATAGATTCGTCGTCCGATTTTCAAACATCTTCCCTTTCCCTGTGACGATTTCTAGCTTGTCGCCTTTGTGATTGGTCCACTTGAAAGATTTCCTCCACCCATGCTCCAAGGTTTCATTAGAAGGGGTGATCAATGAAGTTGGGTCAAACGCTTCATCTTGGATGGCATTTTGATTGGTCATCGCAGTGACATGATTTTGTTCTAGTCCAAATAGCAAGTTAAATGCTTGCTTATCATAGCACCCTGAAATTAGGTATTTTGATATAACGATACTAAAATCGTCATCCAAGAAGTAGCAATCATGAAATATTTCGAATCCAGGGTTCTTGATTCCTTTCAAAACTAGTGGTTCTGGAAGTCATAGCATGGGTAGTCTTCTCCCTCCCTAATGAATTTTCCATTAAGGGTTTGTTGGTAGGATGGGAGTAAAGTGAATATCCCTTTTTTGTTGTTGTCTCTACGTGCTTTGTTTTTTACATCGCGAGACTTTAATTCTTCTTTGGTTGGTTTATATCCCAATCCAAAGGAGAAGCTTTTCTTTGGGATAGGAAGTAAGAAAGATTTCTTCATTCCTATTCCTAAATGCTTCCCAGGAAAGTAACTACTCTTGAGTAAGATGTTGTTTACTATCCGGGTGGAATATGGATCAAGCTTGAAAGGTTCTTCCAAGTCTTCTTCCATTTCTATTTTGTAGATTGGCTCCGCGGCAAATCCCCACAGGTCCTCTTCATCATTATCGTGGTTTATTTCTAAGAGTGATTGATCATTTATTGCTATTTTAAGTGGAGAAGCATGTATAGTCATAGGAAGCCCTTGATAGTTCAACCTAATAATTTGATGAAGTGAGGATGGTATCGCACCAAGCTCAGGTATCCAAGGACGTCCAAGTAGAAGGTTGAATGTAGGTTTTATGTCCATAACGTGGAATTCAACCATCTTTTGTATTGGGCCTGTGGTAATTGGTAGCTTAACAGTTCCACACACCGATCTTCTCGAATTGTCATAGGCCCTAATGCTTTGTGTTGTTGATTGAAAATATTTTTCTGGATTAAGGCCTAAATATTTTGCACTTCGCAATGGGCATACATTTAAAGTTGACCCATTGTCTACCAAAGTTAGAGGGATGTTGTATCCCTTGCACCCTACAGTTAAATATAATGCATTGTTGTGGGTAGTGTCTTTTGAAGGCAAATCATCATTAGTGAAAATGATTGATTTGTCAGATTTCTCGCTAGTAGGCAAGCTAATGAGATCTTGAGGGGTTGTGTCTGTGCTTACAAACAAGCCATTAGAGCATTCATAAGAGAATTCCTATGTTCTTTAGAAGTACTTAGGAGTTCCCAAATGCTAACATTCGCCTTAGATTGGCGAAGTTGTTTGACCAATGGATCTTCCACCTCACGTGGAGGTGGTATTGTATTTTGCATTTGACTTTGAGTTTGATTTTATGTGGTCGAAGATCCATTTGGTGGTGGTGCTTGGTAAACTCGCCCAGAACGAGTTAGATGATCTATCTCGCTTGGATTAGTTGTAGGACTCATAAACCAACTTTCTTCTATAGTCTATGAGCGTGCCTCCATTTCAAGATGTTCCATGAGTTGAGCTTGATGCCATTGTTCATACAAGCAGAGATTTTATAAGTCTTGTGACTTCCCCAAGAAATGATCTCAATCATGCGCTCTAATTGTTTCATTTTGTAAACAAGATGGAGGTGGGACGGCGGCATACATAGAGACATATAAATCTTGAAAGTCGTCGTCTCATAGTCCACATACTTCATAAGTTGCCCCTATGAGTATTGTGGATAAAGGTTCTCCTATAGGTGTGATATAGTTCAAAGGATTGAACCACTACCACAAAAATGGGAAAAAGTAACACATAATATAGAACTGTTAAGTTGAATAAGCGTTCTCCAGAAATATATAGAACGCCTTTGATAGAAAATTGTGTTATAAGTTAAATCAAATGGAACGCCTTTTTTATTGAACCGTTCTATTTGATTTTACTATAGAAAAGTAAATAAATATTAAATTTGACTTTATATTATAGGATGGTGTTATGAGATAAGCGTTCTATTTGGTTTTAGTAATAAAAAAACGCAGTGGGCGTGCAGATTCCCGTGAGGCCAAATATTTAGTTTTTGTAAAAAATTAACTCTAACTAAAATAAAGCCTATGGCATTTTACCAAAAGGGAAAAAGGATAAAATAATAAATAAAAAAAGTAAAAACCCTTTGACGTTGAAACTCCAAAACTTCCTCTCAACCTCCACGACTCCACCTCCATAACTGCAATTCTTCTCCACCGTTTATCCACCGGCTGCCGCTTCTCCGATCCTTTCCAATTCATCAATAGGCGCTTCTCATCTCAGAAACATAGAAGCCAGGTTCGTTATTTTTAGTATGATTTTTATTTTACAAATACGAACCCTATGTTATTGGCATGTTAATTAGTTTACGATTAGCGAGTTTTGAGATGATATTATTGGAATTCTTGCTGTTAAACAATGAATTATGAGCATTAGTTCCATTTATTTCGGATTTTCGGCATTATTCATGTTTTTATCGAGGGTGATTCTGTTTAATTGCAATTAAAATTGGGTGCATGAATATATTGTGATGAAATCCTTACATTGATCTGAATTTCGAAATTGAAAATTATGATACTACTCTACTGTATTAGTGTTTTTTGTTTTTATTGAATTGCTGGAAATCATGTGAAGGAGTATGCCATGAGTAGATAGTAATCGATTGTACAAGGGACAATACTCTGAACAAACAAATGAGTATACGAAAACTAGATTACCCACTTAATTATAATAAGTTTAGACACTGAGTGTCAATCAAAATTTTTACTAGTAGGAATGAAATTATGAACAAACAAATAATAATACTAAGTAGATTCTCTTAGATTAGAGAAAAGTAGAAAATAATGAAACTTATATATAGAAAAGCCTTGTAGTAGCAATAGTATAAGATGATAAAGTATAACTAAGAACAACAAAGAACTAACTAACTACTCCTAAGTAACGCATCAAACTAATAAAAAAGTAATGGACTATAAATAAAATTAAAATTAAAAAGAGTTTAAATATTGAGGGGGTTACACTATTTTACAGCACATGAGAGTTTGAATGATATTAAAATTATAATTAACTTTAGTTTTATTGATAAGGACTCAATGTCTTTGAGTTCATATTTATCTTTATTAACATATATTACACTTTTTTTATGTATAGATTCATGTTTCTCGTTTTATTTTCCAGTGTTTTGAAATGGATAAAAGTTGGATTACAACCAAAAAAACTCGGAGACCCAGAATATGATGCCGGGGTTGTCGAATTTATTAAATTTGCAGTTACGAATAGTGAAGGTCGTGATGTTATTCTGTGTCCTTTCCATATCTGCCATAATCTTAGTTATCACAAGGTTGATGTAATACTTGCTCATTTGAGTAAATGGGAATTTGATCGAACATATACTTGTTGGTATCGCCATGGAGAAAGTAGAGTAGGAACTTCATCAATGGGTGAAAAAATGGATAATTCTAATGTTCATGGTGAATATGAGGGTGATAACTTAGATGACATGATAGATGAATTTAAGGAAAGGGTTGAGAATGATCCTGATGTGACCATTGAGGATTTGATAAGTGATTTCGAGAAGCCCTTATATGGAGGTTGTGACAAGTACACAAGATTGTCTGGTGTACTTAAGTTGTACAATATAAAGGCGGGTCATGGCTAGACAGATTTGATCTTTAATGCATTACTTGAGTTTTTGATTGACATGCTTACTCCTAATAATGTTTTGCCGAGTTCTACATATGAGGCAAAAAAAATATTGTGTACAATGGGCTTGCGTTATGATAGAATTCATGCTTGTCCTAATGATTGCATACTGTACCGAAAAGAATATGAATCTCTTAAGAGTTGCCCTCAATGCAATGTCTCAAGATACAAAATAACAGAAGGAGTTCCAGCTAAGGTGTTACTGTACTTCCCAATTATTCCAAGATTCAAACGTATGTATTCGAATCCTGGAGAGGCAAAGAAATTGACATGGCATGAATTTGGGCGGAAAAAAGATGGATTACTTAGACACCCAGCTGATTCTCCACAATGGAAGTCTAATGATGACAAATGGGATGATTTTGGTCGTGAAGAACGAAACCTCCGCCTTGCATTGTCTACTGATGGAATGAATCTATATGGCTCTCTAAGTAGCACCCGTAGTACTTCGCCAGTTATGTTGGCCATTTACAACTTGCCTCCCTCCTTATGCATGAAAAGAAAATACATAATATTGTCAATGATAATTCCTGAACCAAAACAGCCCAGAAATGATATTTGTGTGTACTTGGCGCCTCTCATTGGAGATTTGTTATTGTTGTGGGAGATGGGGGTGGTAGTGTTTGATGCTAACTGAAATTTTTTCAATCTGAGAGCATTATTGTTCTGCATAATCCAAGATTTTCTAGCATATGGTAATCTTTCAGGGTATAGTGTCAAAGGAACCGCTCCTTGCCCTATATGCGAAGACCATTGGAAGGGAGAGTATATGAAAGGATCTAAAAAAACAGTCTACTATGACCATCGCCCATTTCTTCCTTGTGATCATTACTATCGAAGAATGAAAAAGGCTTTTACTGGAAAACAGGTGTTTGCTAGCCAACCACATGTCTCTTCTAGCCTTGAAGTGTATGAAAAGGTTAAATACATTCGAATTACATTTGGCAAGTTGAAGAAAAATAAAGATGTTATTCCTAAACAGGGGTACAAGAAGTGTTCGGAATTGTAGCGCCTTCCTTATTGGAGATTTCTCTATGTACGACATTGTTTAGATGTGATGCACATTGAGAAGAATGTATGTGATAGTCTGATTGGCACTTTATTAGACATTAATGGTGAGACAAAAGATAGTAAAGGTGCTCGGTTAGATTTAGCAAAAATGAAGATTAGAAGTGAGCTTCATGCTATTAAGTCTGGAGACCGTTCATATTTACCTCCTGCTGTGTATACACTATCTAAGAAAGAAAAGACAGAGCTTTGTGCATCCTTAGCTGGGGTAAAAGTGCTTGAGGGTTTTTCTTCTAACATATCATCTCTTGTTTCAATGCAAAATTTGAAACTTGTGGGTCTTAAGTCTCATGATTGTCATGTTTTGATGCAATATCTCCTACCTGTTGCTATTCGTTCTATTTTACCGAAAAATTTGCGATATGCCATTATTAGGTTATGTTCTTTCTTTAATGCAATATATAGTAAAGTCTTTAATCCTAGTGATTTGGAGTCTATGGAAACATAAATTGTTGTCATTTTATGCCAACTTGAGATGTATTTTCCCCCGGCATTTTTCGATATCATGGTTCATCTACCTATTGACTTGATTAGAGAGATAAAATATTGTGGTCCCGTGCATATGAGAAGTTCATGGCCTTTTGAAAGGCAAATGAAAACATATAAGGGATATGTTAAGAATCTTTCTCGACCAGAAGCTTGTATAGCAGAGAAAATGGTATATGAATTAGCTATTGAATTTAGCGTGGAACTTCTTGGAGATATGAAGACAATAAGGCTTCCAACTTCTTGACACAGCGGGATATTAGATTGTAAAGGAACTATAGGTCATAGAAACAGTGACTTGTCTCGAGATAAATGGCGTATGGCACACATATATTCTTCACAATGAAGAGGAAGTTGTACCTTACGTCGAGCGGTATATGAATCTTTTAAGGAGAATAATTCAGAAGGCTAATCCAAAAGCAGTAGCTGCTGAACATAACAAATCATTTTCCATCTGGTTCAAGAATAAGGTAATGAGAGAGCTTCAAGTTTCATCAAGTCTGATTTCAGATCGTCTTAAAAGTTTGGCTTATGGACCAGATTTTCAAGCCACTTTTTATTCGGGATATATCATCAATTGTTGGAATTTTTTTACAAAGGATCAAGATTATAAGAGTACTATGAAAATTAGTGGGGTATCTTTAGAAGCAGAAGCAATGCATTTTTCAAGTGCGAAAGACAATCGTCCTGTTTTGTGTAAAATGCAATATTATGGGGTAATTAAAGAAATTTGTGAGTTACATTACTCTGATTTTTCTGTACCCGTGTTCTGTTGTAAATGGGCTGATAACAACAATAATGTTGTCCATGATGACATGGGGCATACTTCAATGAATCTTCACAAGATTGGTCATAAGGAAGATCCTTATATTTTAGCTTGCCAAGCTAAACAAGTTTTCTATATGACTGATCCACCTTATAAGAGAAGGTCGATTGTTATAGCACCAAGACCTCGCTATGCCATTGATGAACATGATGACAATGTTGATTTTGAGGAAAGGCTCGGGTTAAATGATGATGTTGTGAATGATGATGTTGATGCCGATGATTCATTAACATATGTATGCAATGATCACGAAGAAGGGATTTGGGCCAATAACAAAGATGGTAATACTAAAGGACCTCAAAAGCGGCGTCGTTAAACAAAGTGTCCATAGAAAGTTGGCAAGGCTATGGATATAGAGGAATTAGAAGATCATTTGTGATAACCTTAACTCTAAACAGAGTTTTGGTTCTTAATTTCTTATATTAGTGCAGTAGCTGGATTATTTGGTATGTGTACTTAATAGTTATTTTATAATAATCAAGTTTTCATTCTTCCCATAAAAATTCCTCTAAGAAATTAATGTTTCTTGTAACCAAGTAAAGTTAATATCCTAATGTTGACAGGTAGTGCTATCATGTGTACGTTTCTCTTTCTTTAACTATTTATATTAATTGTGCTTAAACCTCATAAAATTTTCTATTTTCACAGGTTGATGGAAAAAAAGAGAAAGCAAATAAGTTCCTCTCAAGAGACCGCTGAACGTACAGTTTGTACGGTAGTTGGAAAAGCAATACAAAATGGCACCAAAATCCCCTTACAATGGAATCATAGGAAATTGCCTTGTGGGGATCATAAAGCTACCTTTGCTACTTACATTGGCGTAGTTGCTCGCCAACGAGTAAGTATCAATTATAGTCACTGGGGAAAACTTCCAAAAGAAGTCATCGATGAAGTTTATAATTTTATTACGGTAAGAAAGTATGTTGGTTAGCTTATGTTAATATAAGCATGCATTAATTTTCACATTTGATTATTGTGCTATTTTATTGTACTAGTCTTGGCAGGCAACAGTAACTGCACCTTGCCATCCTAGCTGCTGCAGCAGTCTCGGCAGGGCAGCAGCTGCAACCATCCCAGGCCAACTTCAAGAACAATGCATAGAGTTCTGATTTCTAGCACCCTTGTAGCTCTATATGTTTTTCTGTGTTTTGTGTCTGCTGACAGCAAGTTTTCTACGTAAGATAGAGTGTTCAGATTAACACAAAACAAAATCCATTCATTTAATTTGAAGTACCCTATATTGAATCAGCTTCATTCCCTTATCCACTCTAATTAATTTTAGAATCCTCCTTTGTACTGGAAGAATCTAAACCATCAGTAATCGGTGATATGTGTCTGATAGTTTCCTCACTTAGCTCTCTTTTTACCATGTCTAATAGTTGTTCATTTTTTGTTATATAGCTCTTAATGATGAAATTCATTACGTGCTTATATTGACTTATGCAGAAGGCTTTCATAGTACCAGAAGATCGTAGAGGATATGTGCTAAAGCAAGCTTCAAAGAGGTGGAGAGCATTCAAGTTTAGATTAAGGAAAGAGTTTATGTATGAATCTGATGAGGAGGGAAATATCACAGATGTGATAATATGGACACCACCTCAATTGTATCCATGGATAACCATAGATGACTGGAAAATGTTCGTTGAAACCTATACTCATCTTAACTTTAAGGTAATCTTCTAATACTTTACATTAAAGATACAAGTTATTTAAGGTGTAATTGTACACTAACTTTATGTGTATCATATGTTAGAAATTAGGTGTTGTGAATCGAGATAGGGCTAAAAAAAAGGAAGACTTCTTATCGTGGAGGTCGAAAGGGATACTCGTATTATGAGGATGAGATTGTAAGCCCAGAATACTCTATGTTATTATACCAACGAATATAAATAAAATAGTAATTTGTTGTAAATACTGATTTTTCAGGCAAAAGAACTACAAGAACAAGGAGTCCAAGTTGCTGATGTCCCTCGCCATTTGGTTTGGATCGAAGCTCATTCTAGAGAAGAAAAAGGAATTCTGAAATTTGACAGTCCTCCAAATTTGGAAATAGCTCAAGCGATTGTAAGAATTTGAATCTATCTTTAAGTTGGAACTCATACAAATATAAAATCATGCTAACAAAAACCTTTTTTATGTCTACTTTAAATTTCAGAAAGCATTGGAGGCTCAACATAACCAAGGAAAAATTGATGCTACGGGTCGAAATGATATATTGGCAAGAGCATTAAAGACACCTGAGCATGATGGTTGTGTTAGGGGTGTTGGAGGAGGTGCTACGAACAAGGAATACTCTGGATACAACAAGCCAACACCCCCTAACCAGTTGCAGTCCGAGCTCAAAGAAGTCAAAGAAAAACTGGCCAATGTGACCAACACTCAGACTTTACTAATGTCCTTTATTATGTCTAATTTTCATATGACTTCTGAGCAATTGCATCAACTTCAGCTTGGTAGTTCAAGTGCCCATATAGCAGGGGGGTTTGATGGCAACTAAGAATTTTATGGTGGTTCATTTGGTGAATTACTTAACAGTCATGGTTTTAAGGCAACACATTTGGATGTGTCAGGTGATGAGGGTGCCCAATATGCAAGTATGGCAACTCAAGGAGTTCAAGGTTTTAATTTCCAACTTGCCTCAAATCCTCATCATCCTCATCATCATGAAGATCAACTGAGTTATACCAAATAGCATGGCCAGATCCCAAGCGTGATATTGAGAAAGAGTCCGTGTCTGAAAAATCATTCAATCCAAACCTTGAATCTCAACCTGAACTGTATACTACAAATCAAGCTTTCCTCGAGGTAAGTATATTTTATACGTGGATTATGTACAAAATTAGGCCATTTTTCTAAAAATATATACCATTTTTCAGTTTTCTTATAGCAATTCGTCAGTATATATACATAAAACTAATAAAGTGCATAATGGATACAAATGTGTTTATGCATCTAGGGTAACAATGATTGTTCACTTGCAATAGAGCAAGCCAATGGGATACAAATAACTGCCATTGGACAAGTTTATATAGGAAAGGAATCTAAAGTTATCAAGCATCACTTCAACCCTATATCGAGTGGTCGCTACCGAGTTTGTATTAAGAAAGAAATTTATGCAACTGCACCTTTGCCGTTTCCTGAGGGAAAAATCAGATTAGTTAGTGGAGGAAAGAATCATTTTTTATTATGGCCAACTCACTTAGTTTTTCCCATAAAGAAGGTAAGATATTGTTTTTTAGCTAAAATATGTTTATATATAGTACAAGGATGATACTAAGTTGGTTTTGTTATTGTATTATACGTAAGGTTGATAAGCAATCTGTAAAAGAGCTCAATACACTTTCTACTCAAATGCCTTCATCACATTCATCATTCACCAAGCGTGTACTTGCTCCTATCGCTCCTGAGGAAAAGCTGAAGTTGACTACTACTTTGATGCGAGTTTGTAGGAAGCTAGCCGTTGAAATGAAAAATGGTGGGAAAACCATACCTATTAGAATACCGAATAATGTATTTTATAATGAGCAGGATGTTTGCATTGATTATGAAGATATGCCAGATTGGTGCTATCAAAGAATGATTGGAGCAAGTCACATCTCAACTTTTATGATGTAAGTATGCTAGTAATTTTAATTTGTAAACCCTTTTTTACCAATTTTTGTTAACTTATTGTTTTAAATTTTGTTTCTAAATATACAAGGCATCTATGTGAGATGGTCCATACACAAGGTATCTCAGGACTTTTATGGATTTTGTGATTCTAATTTCATATCACTACAAACTCCAACGCAAGAAAACGAAGATGATCGATGTGACTATTTGGTTAGGGTATTTGCATGCAATAATGCATGTAGGGAATAAATTTCAAGCGTTAAACCCCTAGCTTGAACCCCACTATGATCATACACTAAAGTACGGTGGCGTCCAAAAGGGAAGAAGATAGAGCAAAAGAGTCGCCAACAATTTCTAGGAACTTGTAAACCGTTCATGAGCTGAAGGTTACACCCCTTAACGATCCAATAGACCGTCAACTCTATAAGGTCTAGAACCAAATAAGGGTTCGGGGATGAAATTACACATCCAACCTAAAAGAGATTGAATCTGCCCTAATTAATAAGCCTCTACTTTATTCTGATCGTATTCATGTGCGCTTTCTAATTAACATACAAGCAATAGGATTAACCCTAAACCTGTTTATCTATGTTGGTTGAATATTAATGCACAAATAAATTATTATTGGCGATCACTTGAAATTATAATCACATTAACCCTAACAAGATTATTAAATATCTTATTAAGCGTGATTACAAGTATAAAATTCCCTTTAAACATGCATAAAAGGCGTGATCAAGCAATAACAATAAAATATCAAACAACATAATAATAATCATGACAATAGAATTATAATAAACATCATAATCATAAAATCATAATCATAGCAATCATAATTAATAATAATTATAATAATCATAATAACAATAATAATAATAATAATAATAATAATAATAATAATAATAATAATATTCATGTTAAAGCATATAATAGCAAGATCCTAGGCATGATACTAACAAAATTAATGACAAACCCTAGCATGTCACTAAGCAATAAAAATCAAATCTTTAACCCTAACATGATACTAACAATCATAAATATTAGGAAGACGTAAGAAGCATCGCAAGAATCATAATAAATGTTAAAATTACCCTAGACATGATACTAGGAATATCATAATAACAATATAAACATGATTTCTACATCATAACATCAAAAAATCAATTAAAGCACTTACTTTGATGCCTCGTACCTTTTTCTAATAACAAAAAAAACACGTTAGTAACTTCAAGGAAAATAATAAAACAAAACAATTAAATTAAATAATTGAAATAAAGATTTGAGATCAAACCCTCAGAAATTAAACCTTTCACGTCTAGAGCGAAGGAAACTTCGAATATGGCTAGGTGTTTCTAGATCTAATGAATGCGGAATTTTGTATGTAAAAACAAAGTTTAGAAAAGAGAAAGAGAGAGATGAAATAATCAAGAAAACTTGATGAGAATTGGTGAATGATTAAGAGAGTTAGAGAATTAATGATTGTGAATGAAAACTGATTGTAAGTGAATTCGTGAGAATTGGTGAAAATTGGTGAATGAAAACGGAGTTTTTAATACGTTTTTTATAGAGAATTCAGCCAAAAAGATAAAATATAAAAACAGAGCACTTGGCGCACGCAAAACGAAGTTGGCGCACCTAAAACAGAGCTGGCGCCAGCACCATCTAATTGACGCCAGGCGCCAATGGCTAGCACCAGGCGCCAGGCGCCAATCTTTTATAAGAACTTTGCTACGATCGACAATCCATGTCTTGGAATATAACTCTTGAAAGCAATCCACCTTGGAAAAATTTGCCAACGCTATGCGACAATCCTTTTGGGAAAATATCGCCACAATTGACAATCCGCGTCTTGGAACATTTGCAAAAAAAAAAAAAAAATCGACTGACAATATGAATGACAATCCACATTTGAGGAACTTTGCCGAAATTTATGATGAATAGAGACCTACAACAATCCTTTGGGAAATTTTGCCATAGGGAACTGAGTGTATGACAATCTAATCTCGGAAAACTTGCCAA